TTTTTTTTTTTTAACAAACTAAACTTAAGTTATATGACATGATGTCTTTTATCCACAGGATATATTAACTCACTGCAGAGTGGACCACCTCAAGTGAAACGCAGCTTGGTAAGACATCTGTATACGCAACAGCATTGACCGATATTTAGACCTGATTTAATGTCTTTATCAATGTCTTTAACAGATTTTGAGGGAGACTATGCTGTACAGGAGGGGGATATCTTACTGCCAGTAAGCCCAAATCTCGTTTTATATTCACGATCGAGACTAGAGCTAGTTGACATTTAAGGCAAAATACTACATACATTTTTTTTCCTTCCCTTCATGCACTTGTCAATTTTTGGCTGTTTTACTTCCAAAATAAGTATTCTTTCAGAATACTGGGGAAGAGTATTCTGGGGAAAAAAGTGTTTATTTTATTACACTTTATCTGTTTGTGTCTGTAGATTTCAATTACAATATGTATCTTTAAAGACAGTTTCTCAAAATTAGTTTTTCTCTCTTTAGCTGAGCCAAAAATCTCCACTTAAAGGGATAGTTCACCTAAAAATGAAAATTCTCTCATCATTTGCTCACCCTCAGGTTGTTCCAAACCTGTAGGAGTTTCTTTCTTCTGTTGAGCACGAAAGCAGATATTTTGAAGAATGTTGGTAGCATTGACAGTAGCCATTGATTTCCAGCGTATGGAGAAAAAAAAATACCATGGAAGTGGGTAAATGATGACAATTTTGTTTTTTGGATGAACTATACCTTTAAGTAGGACTTACATCAAAACACTATCTATATTATATTCTATTGTATGTCAACAAAATGAAACCAGTGCTTATTTAATATACAGTATAGTGCCTCATTTGCATATTTCAGAACACTTGTGATACGAAAACAGTTGCCTATGTGTTTCTTTAGACTGACAGGAATGCAGTGAGTCAGCTGTGGGCTGAGGTGGATGGAAGTTTGTCAGTGCCTTATGAAATTGATTTTACTCTTGGTGAGTTTTTCTGCATGTTTGGTGCTGTGTTTTCTGCAGATATTACCCTAATACCTTAGTGTGCTCTAGTGGTATAGTCACAGTTTCAATGATTAGATCTGTAAGTCGTGTGTTTAAGTAATATCAGGTGAAGATACATTGATATTCAGAGAAGTAATGTTTGTTTCTGTATTTGTTTGCAGTCTTCAGAGGACAGGACTAAAGACATTCTTAATGCCAATATGATTTCCGCGAAGACGTGCGTCAGATTTCATCCACATGCTAATGAAACCGACTATTTGCACTTTGAGTACGGAAAAGGGTGAGTCACAGATTAAAAAAAAAACTCATTTATAGGGAGTGTAATTCGATGTCTTTGTCAAAACATTGCCTCTGGTACAGTATGCATACTACTACGTTAATTCAGCATTTCAGCACAATTTAAAAATTGCTAATGGAATTCCTGTCATAATTTAGAGTAGTAGTTTTAGTATACATAATTTCAGTTTAGTCTGGGATCATACTGTTGCACTTTTGCAACATCGTTTTACCATTTAAAATAAATAAAAGTTTAGTTTAGGTTTCTTTAACCCAGTTTAGCCTGACTTGTGAAGTACTGTAATAGTTAGTCAGTGAGAAAAAATGCCTAGTTTTATTGTGGAGTGGAAAACAATGAAATACAGTGATGACTGAGAAATGAACAAAAACCATTCTCAAAAGCCTGATTGTAGATTGAGTGCAACAGGTTTTCCAGCAAAGTTTTGATCATGTTGATAATTCAGAGGCCTTAAAGTATCAAATATGTTTTTATTTTACAGGGAAAGAGGACAATTTTGTGAAGAAAAAGGGGAACACCCTCGGTCTAAAGTATGACCTGGAATCAATCATGCATTATGGAACGTAAGAGTTGCAGTCGAAACGTATCCCGGAATAGTTTGCATGGCTGTCTGGGTGCATGATGTGCTTTTGGCTGGCCGAGCATTTCATTAGTTCTGTTTTGCAGCAATTATTTCTCTCGCAATGGAATGCCCACAATTGAGCCCAAAGAGAGCAGTGTAACGATCGGCCAGAAGAGTCACTTGTCTGATCTGGATGTGCAAAGGATCAGGAGGCTGTACCACTGTGGTACGTCATATGTGCACATTTATCATACCAGGGATATTATAGTTAACTCAAATTAAAAACATCAAATAGATTTGTTACTTGAAATGAAAGGTTAACTGATGCAAAATATGAATTTAAAGCAATAGTTCACCTAAAAATGAAAAGTTGCTGAAAATGTACTCACCCATCCAAGATGTAGATGATTTGGAGAAATTGAGCATTACATCACTTGCTCACCAGTGGATCCTCTGCAGTGAATGGGTGCCGTCAGAATGAACGTCCAAACAGCTGATAAAAAAAACATTTCAAATGAAAAGGGAAAATATAAAATACTAATTCAAAATGATAAAAAAAAATCTATAATAGGCTCTCAATGCTAAAATAACACTAGGAATGTAAGAAACTGAGATGCCTAAAAATGACAAAACCTCAGGATTTGCAGTATAAAAATGGAAAGCCGTATATAGACCAAGAATTGACCTGTCAGACACTATTATGACCCACTAGAGTTCTGACGGCTGAGGAGAGGAAGTGAACTGAATCAATAGCAGTATCTCTAAAAGACCTGATGCACTTATTTATTGATTTGATCTTTGCCTTGCCATTGTTCGGTGACTTTGACATTGAGAGTTCCAGCTGCTCTTCCTGAATGAATCTACTTTCTTCATTTCAGACGAGACACAATAAGGATCAAGCAAAATCTTGAATGGTTACTTGATGACAGAGGAATTTTGAATCTAGGAGGACAAATAAAGGTTTCAAAATAGAAATGCATATGTCCTCAATTCTTGTTTTTATTGTAATTTTTGTTTTGTCCAGTAGGTGGTAGTCAGTAGAGTCAGTAGAGTGGAGTCTGTGTTACCAAAAAGAAGTATGAGGCACAAATGTACATACAGTACCATCGCATAAAGGTCAATTTTATAGCATATTGCAGCGTAGTGTTTTTCTTTTGGATTCTTTAGTGAGTTTGAGTTTAATTTCACCAGCATGTTGGCTAATCACTATCCATCTTCCATGTTTGGAGAGCTAAATCGGTTTCATTTCATCTGATATCGTTTTATTGTATTTTATAAAGGCAGCCTTAATATGCGTAGTGATTCTAGTCAACTGTATGCTTCATTACCTTTAATTGTGGCCTTTTAAATAATGATATATGGGTATAAGTTTTTAGTTTTATTCGCCAGACCTCTTTTGCGTAAGTTGCACAGGGAGTTGGTACTCCATTATGGGAACCTGAAATCTTCTGTAAGTATCTTTAAATTTATATAAATATAAAATCAACTAAAGAAGAGCATGGGGAATGATGTTGCAGAAATAACTAGTACAAGTCTCACAAATGATTCTTTCACACATAACGCGTTTTTGCACTCTGCTTCGTTTTTGTTTTCCTCCTCTTGCAGTAATCCACTTTCAATTGCTTTGGCACTTTTTTCCCCGTAACGTTTCTTTTTAGACGCGGTTTCCGTTTGAGCTACTAACAACTATAAATTAAAAAATATATAATAAAATTACAGGTTTATAAATTGCACAACTGGCTGGTAACCCTGAGAAGGAGTGATTCTCTGACGTGACGTCATGAGAAGAGGGTATCTGCGTGACGTCATGGCGGGCGCGCTCAGTGAGACTCGAGTCAGTTCACTCCGGTGACTGATGCGCAAACTTCTAGAAAACGTCTAGAAGAAGACAATGGTATAAGAATAAAATAATGGAGAAACGAATAGAAGGACTTAAGTAGCCTATTCGTATTCTCTGTTTCTTTTTATTCCGCTGATATTGAGGAAGTGTATTTTATAAAATATTGAAAGCAATTATTCAAGTCTTAAAGTCCAACCCTAACTGGAGCATTCCTTCGTGGATTTTTTTCCCTTCTCTGACATGGAACTGTTTATGCAAAGATCATTTGTCTTTACAACGTTTGGTATTTGAGGAACTGTAGTTTTGGCTTGGCTGGAGCGCGTGTTTGCAGACGGTGAACCTTTTTACGCATCTTGATAATTTCAGAGCTGCTCGGACACACAAACCCACGGATCTACCATGTTTGAATCATTTTTACATTTTTATATTCTGCAAATTTACTTGCCTATCTTTTACTGTCTAAAAACTTAGTGTATTGTTTTGACGCGCTAGTGTCCTTGCGCATCTCCACTTATCACAGTATTTAAAACATATTTGACTTATGTTGTGGAAATTAATACCACGTTTTTTTATTAACAGTGGCCGGCTTTGTAGTAACTACGCATGTTACGTTTTACTTGCTGATTGATTTTGAATGATTTCCTTGTGAAATAGACGGACTACAGGACCTCCTTTTAAATGCAAGTGCAATTTTAAAAAAAAAGTGACTTGTAGTGTTTTTTTCTTTTTTTTTTTCTTCTTCTTCTTGAAGTTCGCCAAAGCGGAAGCACCTAAAGGATGTCGTTCTTTGATTTAAAGACTCATTTTAGTCATTTCCCTTTTAAATGATTTTCTAAAAGAAAGAATGTCTTTGGAAGGATTATGCTAGGATTGAATTCTATATCAAAAACTGCTTTGCACTTCTCTGTCTAGCCTGGAACTTCAATATGACCGTAATACAGCCTCCAGATGTGGCGTGCAGGTTGGGAGCAGGAAAAAATCTTAGTTCTGAGGTTAAAGCATGCAATTCCAGTTTTTCTTATTCTCCTGAAGCCACAGCTGCCTTCGCCACCGCAATGACGCTCATCATGCTCTTCACCATCTTCGGGAACATCCTGGTGATCATCGCCGTCCTGACTTGCCGCTCTTTACGAGGACCTCAGAACCTTTTCCTGGTGTCCTTGGCTGCAGCGGACATCCTGGTGGCCACATTGATCATCCCGTTCTCCTTGGCCAATGAACTGATGGGCTACTGGTACTTTGAGTCGTTTTGGTGCAAGATCATCTTAGCGCTGGATGTGCACTTCTGCACGTCTTCCATTATACACCTGTGCGCCATCAGCCTGGACCGCTACCTGTCCATCTCCCGGCCGGTGCAGTACGCAACCCAACGCACCCCTCGCAAGATCAAGGGGGCCATATTGGTGGTGTGGCTCATCTCTGCGGTCATCTCTTTCCCCCCGCTGGTATCCATGAATAAGACCCCGCTGGCGAAGGATGGGGGCGGCCCACAGTGCAAACTCAACGAGGACATCTGGTACATCCTGTACTCCTCCATCGGGTCGTTCTTCGCCCCGTGCCTCATCATGATCCTGGTGTACGTTCGCATCTATCAGATTGCCAAGAAGCACACTAGATGTCCTCCGGGAGAGCGGAGGAAAGACTGTGCAGGTGCTGTGCCACCAGGCCGAGAGCTGCAGAACGGGGAAAACCAGGGAGGTGTTGACCCTGCAAATGTCCCTAATCCGACTGCATCCAGATCTGACGCCGTAAACGAGCCTCAACCACCAGCAGAAAGTCGGCAGCAGATGAAACACTCAAGGAGGTGCAAGGACTACGAGGACAGTTCAAGCTCTGGCTCCGACGTCGAGGTAATTGGGGGACATAATGCCAACGGGACAACCTCCAGTGTGGGGGCGCCGGAGCCTGGCCACCAGACATCCTCCCCAACCCAAACGTACCGAAAAGTCATCGTAACATCAAAGGGCAGCCAGCTGTCCTCTTCAAACATGACACCAGCAGGAACTCCGAACACCAGGAGGAAAGCCATGATCATCCGCGAGAAGCGGTTCACATTCGTCCTGGCGGTCGTCATTGGGGTTTTTGTCGTCTGCTGGTTCCCGTTCTTCTTCAGCTACAGCTTGCAGGCCATTTGTCCAGAGGCTTGTAAACTACCAGAGCCACTTTTTAAGTTCTTCTTCTGGATTGGCTACTGCAACAGTGCCCTGAACCCGCTCATCTACACCATCTTTAACAGGGACTTCCGTAAAGCCTTCAAAAAGATTCTGTGTAAAAAGTATAAGGACTCTTCTTTTTGAAACTGGACAACCCTGAAAAACAGTGTCATAGAGTAAAGTGTCATTGCTCCCTCTAATAGTGAAGCTCACAAAAATGATCAGGGTCATTTCACTCCAGTATTCAACCTATACTTTTAGTCATTTTGACATTTTCATGACAAAAAGTCCTTTCAGCCCAGACTATACCATTATTGACTGCACGTTGTATTTTTGAAAGTTGCTAATAATTTCATATATATATATATATATATATATATATATATATATATACATAATTACTTCTTTGTGACTTGTTCTCAATGTTGGAACTTTTTTTTATCAGTATATATCAGTTGAAAGATTGAAAACTGCACCTACAAAGCCTCTACAAACAGAGATCATTTGACAATTTGTTTTCCTTGCCAAAGAAACTAGCCATTTGTAGATCCTTTTTTCCTTTGCATGTTTAGGATTGTCTTTGCAAGGCAGGGATTTGGAAAGAGCATGTTTAGTTACTTTATTTTTGTTCTTTAATTGTCATGTCAAAATAATGTCACAAAGCAAAAAATGCAAGACCATTAGGATACTGAAGAAAATAAATAAATATCTCTTAATTTTGGGGTGAAAAATGACCTGGCCATGTTTTTGACTGGAATTTGAAAATCATACGGATAAATACATATCTGAGAATCACATAATGGTTTCCTCTGTATCCAGAATTTTAAATAACCGCTATTTACTATTCTCTTGAGCGTTTGATGACTAATATTACATCAGCAGTTCCCTATCCTGAACTGAGTGGATATATCGGCACACATTCCATTCAATTTTGTAATTCATCAGCTGAGGTGCCACATCAAACATGAGAAACTCTCACAAGATTGTGCTGGTGTCTCTCCAGAGATGCTCTGGCCTCCAGGATGTTGTGACCTTTCCAATGTGCATTCAAAGACAATGCGGCTCTTTCTTAGAGACACCTCTGGCTCCGCTGCATTGTGAGATCACAGAGCTGGATATGAGAAGATTTCAGAGAGCTTCACCTCTCTGGAAAAGTGCCAGAGCTCTTAACGCCAAGAGAGGCTTTGCTCTCTGGGGTGAGAGAAAATAAAGCAAATGCATAGGTATATAACTTGAGCTAGCTTTAAAATTGAATCCAAGCACCCTCTGTTTAGATTAAAAGCATGGTTTTGACTGACATTTTTGCTGTTTTTCAGATTTTAACCAATGAATGACATGGATTTCCTGGATAAGAGTGTGCTTGGTCTCTGTTATCGCTCAATTTGATGGATTCTGATTGAAAGTAATGGCCGTTGTGTCTGTAGGCTGATGCTTTGGGTTATCAGAACCTCTCCCAGTGTTTTTTGTGTCTAAAAAAGAACAGCAATTATGTAAATGAATTGTGCACTTATTAATGCCTCTTGATAAGACTTTTTATTATTTTTGTGCTGTCATAAGCAGGTTTGTGCAATTTAATTAGCTTCTTAATGATATTAGTGACTGTGTGAGTGCAGATAAGTGAATCTATGCATGTAACAGCATGTCTTGACAATAAAACTGCTCCTCAGAATTTGGTTCCATTAAGCGTCCTGCTGAAATGAGCTGTTGCAATGCAAATATATTTGTGAAAATAAATGTACATTTGAATCATCTGCATCTTTTGCTGAGTAATTTTCAGCAACTGATGTACAAGTTGCTAATGATTGTTTTCAGATATTCGGGACATGAAAGTTTTGCTGGCTGGCTGTTGTGTACTCTGGTAGCAGTGATGTCCGGTAGCAAACCTGAGTTTTATTTTTGGTTTAAATGATGTTAATGTTGTCAATTAGATTTGTTGGAATCATCATGTGTCACAGGCCAGAGTGCCTTTATATATTTGGCCGTGATTTAATGTTGCTCACAAACGGAAACAATTTTTACTCAATGGTAGATGTGACCCAATTTTAGCAGGGTTGTTGTTGTTGTTGTTTTTTCAGTTCAAATTATAGTGTTAAATTTTATAAAAAATATTTATGAAAATGTTTTACATCTATTGATTTTATATTTAAATGTTTTTTTATATAAATTAAAATTTATATTTTAATGTATTTGTTTATTTAAAATATTTACATAAATATTCATTTATTGAACTATTTAATTAAATGCTAGCAATTTAATTTAATTTAATTTTATTTTATTCTTTTGACCTGCTGGTAGATGTGGCATTGGGTCAATGGATTTTAATATAAATATATTAAAATATTTCTTTTTCTATTTATTTGTTTATTTTAAAATGTTTATTTTAAAAGGTTATTATTTTATATTAATCATAATTGTATTCTTTCTTTCTTTCTCTTTTTCTTTTTCTTTCTTGCTGGCCTTATAAAGGCATTGTTGTCTCAGACTCTGAAACCATGTTTCTGTGATAAGGTGTTTGCTACTTTATTTGGTCTTCTAAGATCGATGCCACAAACCTTGATCGCAGCTCTTATGACTAACCATCCTTTATCATATTCTACGTTTTACCTCAAGAGATATGCATGCTGATATTCTGTGGTTATCAGTGTAACGTTGAAGTTCCTTCATGCAGTTTATTAATGCTCATGCAAACCTGAGGTCATCTGAGGACCGAACACACAACCATCTGTATCTCCATGACACTTTGAATCCCTTCATTACATCTGTGGCAAAATCTGCTGTTTGCAGCTGTTCATATTTTCATCCATCCAGTCGCATGTTAATTTTGTGAAACGACGCTTCCCTCTGCAATCTCAAGTGTCCCTTCTTCTTTTTGAAGCAGTAGAAGCAGATGCTGCCAAACGGGCTGAGGTGGGACGTATTTGTACACAGACTTCAGAAGCAAAGATGCTGATTATGAGGGCTGCTGGATTCACTTTTATAATGACAACAACAAACGCTTATGAACAAACCAATTTCAAAACCCTTTTTTTCTTGCATGCATGCATATGTCTGACTACTTTTCACCACTGATTAGAAGTGTGGCTCTTTGACTAAATTTGCAGTACTTAATGCATTGTGGGGCTGGCATTGAAATGAAATTAGATAATCAAAATGGGTTGTTTACGGCTTGAAGTGCCAAAACTACATTGTAAAGAGTTGTGGGTCTTTGGTCTTGGGCTTGTAAGCAATCTGTAATTAACCACTCAAAACACCCTAGCAACCGCATAGCAACGAAACGATAGAATTATGGCACCACTCATATTTTTCTTATGTGAATATATAATTTGCATATCTCCTTAAAGGGGTCATATGATGCGATTTAAATTTTTCCTTTCTCTTTGGAGTGTTACAAGCTCTTGGTGCGTCATATGATCCCTTTAAAACAATAAGTTTGCTTAGTTCAAATATTTTGAGCTTGTTAACCCTATTATAATTATAAAAACACTTTTTTTAAAATTAAGATTCTAAAGGAACTCTTCCATTTCTGATTATTTTTTCATATGTCAGATTTTACAGGGTTAAATTTACATTCCATACATTCACTCAAGAAATGGCCATTGGCAGTAAGGTGAGGGGAATAAACCAGAACAGGATGTTCAAATGACGCTGTCACTGACATGAGGAACTTAGCTTCTCTTTCTCAAGAAACGGAGGTGTTTGTGGTTGGGTGGAGGTTTGTTTTTCTGCTTTGAGAGTCTAGAGAATGTGATAAGAATTGCTGCCTTCACTGATGTATATCAGTGAAACTGAGAATGTTTTATAATGATGCTTAGTCTCATAACTTTATGAAGATAATGTGAGTGATGTTTACCTGTATAGCACACACCACAGCAATGCCAATGTCTGTATGGAGCTTTTTTTTAAGTGAGATGCGGCCAGTGAAATAGGGAAAAATGTAAAAAAAAATGTTTAACTTAATTCTAAGTTTTCAGTGTTATGCGCGAGACACAAGCGCACCAGTCAAAAACTTCTGACCGTCGCGTTTACATAGAAAAACTATGTAAAAGTAGCACAGTGAAATGGAAAAACGCATTGTGTGAGAACGGGCCCTTATAAAAGTATTTACATTTAGCATGTCAAGACTATGTGTGTGTATATATAGGCCTATGTAATATGCATGTTACTAAAAATATATATAATTTGTTAATACAAATCTATATATACATTATTATAGATAGTGTATAGAAATACTGTGTAGAAAGAGATGTAAGTGTGTGTTTGTATATCTATATATACACACACACACACACACACGCACACACTATATTCTTATCTAAATGAAGACATTGCATAGACTTTGATTGTTTTATCTAAATACTCTCTCTCTAGTATTTAGCTGTATATAAAACAAAGTCTATGCAGTGTCCCCATTTATATAGAGAGGTTTAAGCTGCCACAAAACACAACCACAAGAGAGGCAGATGCAGAGTTAAAATTGATATTTTAGTTTTAAAACTTATATTTTTTATTTAACCAAGAAAATAGGAGGCAAAATTAATGTCATTGATTCCTATCGAATTGGTGCAATGGTGTTGGGTGCTATTCTATAGATAGATAAATAGATAGATAGAACATTTTGAATATCTGTGAAAAATATTTGTCAAACCAGTTATCACCTATCTCTATTAAACATCAGATATCTTTATTGTTCTCTCTTGTATTTGGAAACTTACTGCAGCAGGTTAGTGTCAGGGTTCTGGACTGTCTGTGTGTGTTTTGCTCCCCATGACCCAGTTTCTCCTCGTGTTAATTGTGTTAATTTGGGTGCTATTCTATAGATAGATAGATAGATAGATAGATAGATGGAACATTTTGAATATCTGTGAAAAATATTTGTCAAACCAGTTATCACCTATCTCTATTAAACATCAGATATCTTTATTGTTCTCTCTTGTATTTGGAAACTTACTGCAGCAGGTTAGTGTCAGGGTTCTGGACTGTCTGTGTGTGTTTTGCTCCCCATGACCCAGTTTCTCCTCGTGTTAATTGTGTTAATTTGATTCCAGCTGTGTCTATTTTGTCCCTCGTTATCCTGTGTTTATATGCCCCAGTCTGTTCAGTTAGTGAGTGTTTGTCGGGTCTACCAGTGATGTGTTGGATGCTAT